GTTTATAATTTGCTTAATTTTATTTCACATCGACATTGTTTATTATACAAAATGGCCTTTCATTTCGAATGTTTCCAAAATTCCATGCACGGAAATTGCTGTTCAGAACAACGTCCCTTCGACCCTGCCCTCACGGCATATAATCTTTCGACTAACAATATATCTTCGTCCGGTAAAGTTTTGACGCTCGTTTATTGACCAATCGAAAACGTTCTTATATTCAATTTAGTCCTAAAAATATATTTAATCTTAGGTTAAATATTTTAACCCTGGGTTAACTAACCCTACCACTAACCCAGCTTTGAACAACACAGTTTTAACCCAGGTTTAGCTAACCTAGGGTTAAGGATTTTAACCCAGGTTTAGCACTAATCCAGGGTTAAATTTAACCTGCTTTTGAACAACCGGCCCCTGGGATAATAATTTAAGTCAGCTCATATTCTACTCGAGTGCTCGTAGTATAATTGTTATGTCATGGAGTGTCATGTTAATACTCCCATGGGTTTGGGTACAATTATTTCAGATCAAAACTCGGCTTCAGGTTGTAAATTCTGCATGCCAATTGGAATAGTTTGCAACATCGATCATGCATTCATGCATGAATACAAAGCTACAGTAATATTCAATTCTCCTTCGCATAATACTCCGCACTGCAGGATATAATGATATACATATAATGATAATGCATTTTTCGCTACTATTCACCAGGCCATCACGGCTTAAAGTTCTTTGTTATGCAAATCGAGCCCTATATAAACGACAATGAGCCCTTCCCAAACGTCTTTTTTTCGCGTGCATAAAACCAGGCTCATCGACTTCTAAACTACAATGACGGAAAGACAACCTCAAGGGGTCGTTGATACAGATGAAAACGATCTTCCTGTTCATTCAGAGCTTTCAAATGATGCGAGATTTGATGTCCTATTCCGTAATATGGAGCGAATGTAGAAGCAGATAGCGATGTTAACTGAAGCAAACAACGCGGAACCTATTGACATTGATCTAGAGGAAGAATCCCAAGCTGATACAAATTCTGTCTTCGACCCGACTGAGAGTCTTACCAACGGCTCAAGCGGGAAAAGCCTCGAGGATGTAGTATATAGACCTTTGACCTTTAGTAACAATATCCGGTAACACTATACTTGATATGTAGATATAGCGAAGCGTGTGTTTTGGCTGGGTTGTGTGGTAAACGTGTGAACATACAAATAGAGTTTTATTATTATAAATTGCGTTATTGCGATACAAGCGTGTTCAGTGTTTCCTTCGATATTACAAGGAGACAAAGTTGCCGTACCACGATTTATTCAAGGACTCTGAGGACTGGATGCGGTCCTAAGGTTCTCAAAGGCGTTGCTAAACGTATTAACAGCTCGTGTACTAAGAAACCTGCTAAAGAGCAATTTCAGAGTATTCAACGGAAATACTTGCGACCGGAGAATTGTGAGTTTTTAAAAGCTCCTAGAGTCAATCCAGAACTGTGGGGCGATTTACACGATAAAACCAAGTCACGGGAAGTTTCATTTCAGGCATTTCAAAGGAATTTGATCAAAGCCAAAGGAGTCATTCCGAATTCTTTCAAGTTGATTGTTGCTATTAACATGCAGTCTCATGATCATCAAATGTTGCAAGTCTTTGGCAAGAACCAATCATCACGAATACGGTTTACCGAAATTCATATTCCAACGCTTTTTTGTGCCAACGTAATAATGATTCAATAGCATTCAGACTCTCTAGACAAAATCATTTTTAGCCTAAAACGCATAGTCGACTTCCGCATCAGACGATTGACTATCATCGAATCACTCTACGCAATGATATTGCTTGGCTTCAAACCTGGTTTGGTTTCAAATTGATAGGTCAATACCTCTTCTACTTGTTTATCATGGTTATTTTTCATTCAAGTAATTGAAAGCGTGAAATCCCTTAAAAGAGCTACGACATCGCGATTTGCGCGAATAAAATATATTTGTTGTTTTGATCTCCACTGCAGTTGACAAGGTAGACTTGCTACAAGTCCACTCTTTAAACCCACACGCGAGCTTGAGCGACCGGGCGTAGCGAGGTCGCAAAAGTGAGGGAAGGGAACGCGCGGAAGAGTCTTCCAAGCTCGCGTGTGTGTTATAGAGTTGACTTGTAGCAAGTCTACTGACAAGGGTCAAGTTACCAAAAGAGAATTTTTTTGAAAATCGGTCCAAGATAGCGGACGAATTGAATATAAATAATGAAATAACTCGAGAACAAAACAGTTTGGATAAAAAATAATCACATAATTATTCATAATCAGGAGGTCGAACATAACTGAAAGCAAGAATAAAAAAATTATTGCCAATACCTTTTTTCGTGATGACTGTTCTCGTGACGATGAAATGTTCTCTTATTGTTTCAAGTGTGTACTTAATAGTAGGCAAAATATCGGTTTCAAATTTTGTGCGATGAGCAGATGAGCATATGCTCGTAACTGCTCATGAGCAGATGCTCATCTATCTCATCCATTTATAGACCTGCGTACATAATTGACACAGTAAAATACGTTAAAAAGACAGCATCGTTTGATAAAAATGGCCCGTGTAGACGCGGCAAAAACGGTCAGATCGTTAAGTTCAAAATAGAACGCATGTCCAACTACATATACAGTGCATTATGCATAATATTCAAGTTGACTCATTCAATAGAGTCGTAAGAGTGTCATTTAATTTTGACTTACAAACATGATTTAAACTAAACGGGCTTGATCTTGAGTTCATTGATTATTGCACTGAAGGTCCAAGTTTCGTTGCAGATGTTGCACTATCAGAGATTGAAATTTTACACTGTTTGCAGCGAAAATTACTTTTTTATCAGCACACACTCTGCACTTTTCTCAGTCAGACTATGGTAACTGATAATGGGATCTTGTAGTCAACTCACTGAGGAAAGGTTTACCTATTAACATTGATATTTGCTATCATGAAAACAACATAGACCAAACTCAAAAGATTGACACTGCCAGAAATTTAATTTCTTCCCCAGACAACAAGTCAAGAAAAATGATAAAGTTTGGGTACATAAAATTGCACTGTAATGTACCAAAGGTCGAAACTAGTATATTTGCTGTTTGTACCATACGTTTTGATGGATTTATTCGCTCAGACCCTTTGGTAATCAGTTTATACTAAAGTCCAAAGGCAAAAAACAAAATTGTTAGAAAAACCGGCTTACCTGGATGCTATAATAAAGCCTATAAAATAACAGCAAAATGAGAAAATTCACCCTCCCGATAAGTGAGTTAAGACATTCACAACGTCAGACGTAGAGCACAAAGTTATACGTCGCCTTTCCATTTGTTAAAGAGTGAAAAAGAGGAACATTTCTATCTTTTTTATATGAAATACAAAAAATATATACCGAAAGCCGAAAATATATTCATAAAAACCAGAAGGGAGATGGACACAGTTTTTCACCTTGTATCGCGGTATGTCAGTGGTAACTACCATGAGCAAAAGGAACCATGTGGCGTCAGCAAAGCTCAAAATCCGCCATCTTTTTGGCGACCGACGATTTGAACGCGAGCCGGTCCTCCAGGAATTTAATATAGCTCAGTGGGCAGATTACATGGAGTGTTTTCCCGGGGTTGCTATAAAATTCTAAAAAAATCGCGTACAGAAAAATTTGCTTTCACAATGCTTTTTCGTTTGTGTATTTCACTTTTATGTGCAGTCATGGTCTCTTAAGGGTCAAGTTATTGTCATTCGGGATTTAAAGCGCTCGAAGAATCGAAATACAGTAGGTCTACTACCAGCTTTTACAAACACAGCCCGGGCTGAAACTTGCCATGTAATTGAAAAATACTCTGGCCCCGGTTTTCCGGCTGAAACTCAACGCGGGCTGAAAAGACACCATGTAACCAGTACCCTAATACTCCCATGGATTTGGGTACAATTATTTCAGATCAAAACCTGCCTTCAGGTTGTAATTCCTCACTCGTGCATGCCGTAGATTTCCCGTACCACAGCCCATATCACGCACTTCGACCACGGGGGAGAGATTCACTTCATCAATAAACTTACAACCAGCTTCGTATTGCGGTTGGTTGAGTTCTTCTTATATGCTTTGCATCGGATTCCATGATTGTCTTGTGCAACACAACTGAAAATTGTCAGTAAACCAGTCAACCAGAACATTCCGGAATATAACGAATCGCTAATTTAAAATCAGGAGCGACAAGCGTCATAGAAAACACGGCATAGAACGTTGTCATAAGTGATCTTTGAGCTTGACCAGAAATGCTATGCAGTAATATATATCATGGAAATAGCGCCCCATACACTTTATTTCAGGGGCGTGGAGAAGAAGGAGGGGGGTAATGGCTATTTTTTATATTATTCATATAGACTGCTTGCGTGCCTTAAGAACCTCAAGAAGTATGGAATTAGGGTTGTGCCACAGTGTGAATGGTGAATGAGTCACTGTCCTTTCCTTTTGTGGTTGATCTGCGTGCGCCCCTTTGTCTTAATGTCCAAAACCTGAAAAAAAATATTATAACAGATCTATCTGACTAATAAAGAAAATGCTACTAAACGTACGCGTTGCTCAAAGCGGTAGAACGAAGACGCGACGAATAATACCAGTGGCACACGTAAATGAACGAAGCCTTTCTACCATAATTTAAAAAAAAAAAAACCAAATTCTTTTAACAATATTTCAGTACTAACAACAAAATACCTCCTCAAAACTCCATAAGTATAAGCACAGAACCAACTACACTAACAGATAATTTCAGCTTGCATGCAAATTAACCCATTTGAGATGTTGCAACCATGGATTAGCCAATAAAACTTAACTAGTTCAGACCATGTGATTTGAACCATTTCAAATTTGCATAAAAGCTGAAAAGCTCTTTAAACACTGGCCTCGAGAGATAGATATGACCGCCAAAACAATATCTCAGGAAATGAATCATTAGAATTAATAACCTTGAATTTGCATAGCATGAAAAATCGACAGGCTTGCTACGACACTGGATCGCGTGGTGATCGTACGTTTGTGTTACGTTGTGGTATATTACTTGACAAACTAAAAAAACGCGAACTTTATACTAATCTGAAGATGGCAGGAAACAGATTGTTGGCCTATTCTATGCAATGCAGATGTTTAGTTTCCACCTACCGGTTACTATACTTCCATTCTTCCCGAGTTTCTGGTCGACTGGTTACATGCAGTAAATATATCATGCAATCCGATGCAAAAGCTTACGACGAACTGAACCAACCGCAATACGAAGCCGGTTGTAAGTTTATTAATGAAGTGAATCTCTCCCCCGGGGTCAAAGTGCTTGACATGGGCTGTGGTACGGGAAATCTCACCAAATACATCGCTGATATTGTTGGGTCTTTTGGTAAGACGGTGGGAATTGATCCTGATGTTGAGAGAATCAAAATAGCTCAAGAGAAATATCAAGAGGTTGATAATCTTCAGTTTCATGTTGGTGATAGTGTGACTGGATTCCCAAACGAAAATTCGCCATACTATGACGTTCATATAACAATGAATGCGTTTCACTGGTTTCCACACGAGCATAAGAGGATTTACATACAGAAAGCCTACAAATCTTTGAAGTCTGGAGGAAAACTGGTTATTTTGTGCACAGATAAGTTTGGCCCGGAACGAGCTGATCATTCCGAGGTACTTGGTACCCATTATTTGACAAAAGATGAAATGAAAAAGTTGTTTTATGAAATTGGTCTGTTCAGTGAAGTCGTGATCAGCCAGATCGTTCTAACAGCGAATTTCAAGTCGTATGAAATATTAAAGCGTTGGACCAAAGCATCAACACATCGTGATATTGAAGAGTTAGATCCAGCTTATGTGAAAGAGACTATGGCTGAAGTTGCTACTTTTCACGACGATGGCAGTATCGTATTGATTATACCGTGTCTTCATATCACCGCAATTAAACAATGAAAAGATCACGTTAACATTAGCCGATAAATACTTCTTTTAATACGTGTGTAATTTTATACAAGTGTCCACATAATTTTATACCTTAGGGCCTTCTCTCAAACAAAGATTTTTTGAACCTTTTGTCATTCTTCTCTTAAATGGCTGCAAATTCAACAACCGAATCTAATGCTTGCTGTTCTCAGTGACGTTAAAGGCAGGGGCGGATCTAGGGGTTGTCAGATGAATCACGCGATTAATCAAAAATAATTTACACAAGCCTAAGGTCGAAATATGTAAAATTCAGTCAGCGAAGGTAGTCATGCGATAAATTAAAAGTTAGCTTGGAACAATACTAGCTTATGCTGTAACTGTTATGAATATTATTCAGGCTTACAAATTGACCACATTCATGTTTTTATTCCATGGATGTAATTTCCCCTTATTTATTGCCCGTTGTTTCGACACACATGTATCTGCTATTAAAACTGAAGGCTCAGTGAACTTTTAAACATTTTCGCGCATAATTTTTGTATAAATTTCGGGTTCAGATGATAAGTTAACAACTTTTAAAATTTCGGGAGGATGGGGGGGGGGGGGCAATTGACCCACCTTCCCGTTTTCCTTCCGATAATTTTGACTAACGTGCGAAAATTCCTAGATCCGCCCCTGGTTAAAGCAAAGAAACCGAATCGAAAAACTGTAAATATAAGGTTTATACTATCTATGTAATTGTCGTCCAAATTAACTCTGCTTAGTTCGAATTCAAATGTTCGATCTGATAGACTGATATTGATACTCGGACTATTTTTTTGAATGATGAAATTATTGTTATAATAACCAAGATATTAGTTGTTATTGATATTTAGCAATTTGTCGTTGTTTGCGTCATGCATTAACACTAAAATTTGATTGGAATGACTTAGGGGCCGATTACTTGCGCCAAGTTGTCCCAGTTAGCCGGAGTGGTACAATTTGCCGAGTTACTTTTTCCCTGTGATTATGTGTATACATGGCGAATTTCGATATTTCAGGATAAAAAGCATTGTATCTCCCTATTCCACCTGGTGACCGACGTTGAAAATTTGCATATGGTTTTGCGCTGCAAAAAACTTTAATTTTACAGTGAGTTCTATAGGCGTGTGTTGTCATAGCAACGGGAGAAATGGCTCAAGAAATAACTGAATTTGGAAGAAAATACGTTGAAATACATAAAACTTTCCAAATCTGCTTCAGAAAACAATAAAACTACTCGTATTACGCGGGGTCATATATCTCTAGATTTGCGGCAATATTAGAGGAAATTTTGTAGTTTTTGCTTCTTGCCGTTTCTGCATGCCAGCTATTCATGAGTTTCCATTGGAATATTAAAATATAGGTTATGGGTCGTGTTTTGATTATATTTTTACGGCAATTGGAGTTAATTAAAGCTCGTCATTTTTGAGTTGTTTTGGATCAATTGCGCAATATTTTACTAATGTATACTATTATGCGCGCTGCGTAGACTCGGGGATTGGACGTGAGCACGATCTGCGCAGGTCTCTGACTATAGTTTCCGCCAAATTTGAATAGAGCGTGAAATTTGCAACATTCTGATATTAAGCCTAAGTTGCTTAGTAAAATATCGAGTTTAGGCTCGTCAAAATAGCCTGGAAGTTTGGGGTATATTTTGTCCTTATTCTTGCTGTCGCTGTGCAGATAGCGGCGGCTATAAACGAAAACGGCGCAGAAATTTCGACAGACAAATCGTCCCAGTCTGTGTATTGTATAAGCAAGTAAGTCAACCGGAATAAAGCTTCCTTTTAACTTCGGTATACAGTTTATGTTTAAATAATTCCGCTTTTTGCTCGAGGGACTCTGCGTCAGGTATTGGCATTCTCTCTTGTCGCGCAAAGGGGAAATATGATTCTTGCTTAACACCGAATGGCCTCCACTCGTCATACTTTTCACTGTAGCCTTTATAGTGAATTCGCACCAAATTCCGTGCCTTATCAACTTCTGTTACTTCTAACTCATACAAAATTTTATCCTTTTTAAACTTTTTTACAACTTCAGCACTCGATGAAACGCCAGACTCATATATTGAACGCTTTGGCGGACGCGAATCGCGCCTTGGTCTGTCTGCCATGTTTGCTTTTAATACCTGATTACGCAATTTTTGCGTCGGCGGGGCTTGGCACTACTTGGTAGCAAATGTTCAAAATCATGGCAAAAAGTTTGATACACAAATCAGGACCATCGAGAACTACAAGACACCTGATGTCTAAAAAACTGTATCAAGCCACCTTAACCGGGACAACTCAGCAAATTGCGATTACATGGACAAATAGTAAACAATTATCCCCGAGCCGGCGCGGAGCGCCGAGGGTACTAATTCCGCCCGGAGATTAGGAATTACACCCGGAACCCGGGAGAACATAGCGGAATCCAAAGTTGCCCAAATGTCATGGACGTTCATGGACGTTCAATGGTCATGGTAGTTGTGCGCATGCGCGAAATTTGAACGAAGAAAGAACGGTCGTCTACGACTTGCTGATTGGCTAAGACAAAAAGAGAGCATGCATGATAGCGTCAGCATTTTAACCGTCATTTTTCAAACTATTTTTTAAAAATATAAAATGAAATCATGGAGTCAAATATTAAAACAATAATAAAATATTTAAAGATCATCACAGCACAGAAACAGTTGGTGAAATAGGAACGACTCGAAGTTTATAATCTTTGAAGTGGTATAGGTGTCTATATATTTTGCTTATTCAGTGTTTGCTGTAAAAATGCATTGTTTTTTTGACAAGTACGAGCTTGGTATGTCGTTTTACAAGGAGCTAACCGACCGTTTAAGGCTTTACATCATCGCTTAAACTTTAGAAAGAATTCTCAAAAGTGTACTTCAGAGTTTTGATAAAACAAATATAACTTTGCAGCTTATATAGTCGCTAAAATCATTGAGTAAAATAAATAATCGAAAAACAACATTCGACGTTTAGTGCTTGTATGGTTATTATAAATATTTGTGCTGTTTTGATGTTTTGAAGGTTTAGCTATAGAAAAGTTTAACGCTCATTTAAGCGGCAACGTAATGCAGCAGGCAAACAGGTGATTTCTGTTCACCTTTACGACTGTCTTTGTTTCCGAAAAATTTGCACGAGTTATTTCATAATATTAGCGTAGAAAGTTAGGTCTGGGTAGCGCACGAAATATTTTGCTTCGTTTAAAATGGCGAGGGGTTGCTGCACGCATGTATTTCCAGTTGGATGAGGTTTTTGTGATACGAAGAGTTATCAAGGTCGAGGTAAGCTTTATCAGCCGAGCCGAATATTATGCATTACTAATGCAATCTCGATTGTTATTAGCTAAAAACCTAGAGATAATTCCCAATGTCTTGCCACCTACAAGACATTAAACAATTATTGGATGAGGTTTTTGTGATATGCAGAGTTATCAAGTTCGAGGTAAGCGTTATCAACCGAGCCGAAGGCCAATAAGGCCATATCACAAAAACCAAGTTCAATAATTGTTTTATTATACATTTGAAGAATAGTAAACATAGTATGAACGATTACAAAACCTTATTTATTATCAACATCCAAAAATATCACTTGTGGGATCTTTACGGATTTGAATAGAGCTTGAAAAGTTAGCTGATAAGTTCTACAACCCTTTTTGATATAGTTAAATAATTTCGGAAATATTTACATCTAAACATGACGATTTGCCTAAATTTCCGTCGTGCTCGGGGGCCTGAGACTCAGGAACCGAGTTCTTGTCAAACATAATATAATAAATTGTAATTTTACTTCGATCTTCCAATAACGTAAAATATTTTGAGAAAAACTCGCCCAGTTGCTACAGCCATACGCTACCGTTCCCGCATTTTTTTCTTGAAAAGCGCAAACTATATCGCCAATGAAACTCTTCATGTTTACATTATAAAAGACGGCGTGTTTGCAAATCATTCCTGAGTCCCAGTCCCCCAAACCGACGTATTTTCGAAACTATTTAATTATATCAAAAAAGGCTGTAGAACTTATAAACAAATTTTTCAAGCTCTATTCAAGTCCGTAAAGATCCCACATTTAGTATTTGAATTAATTTTCGTACAACAACATTGAAAAAGCCAACTTCCTGAAACACATTTTAAACTTCATCCTTCAGCTCAAAAAATGGATGTTGAGAAGCTCAGATCCACGAGCTCTCACAGGGCCTAGCCTATATCCAAAAACAAAATAGCCAGTTTCCTCCAGACTTCAAACATTGGTATAATAGGCTTTCTACGGAGCCCTGTAAGGGCCATGGTAATTATCATCTCACGCTGGTCCAACTTAGCTAAGTTTCTCCCACTCGTGCAGGCTCATATTGTCAGCGGACAACTTACATAAAATTGAGAGCAAGGCGTAAAACGAAAAGCTTTTAATTTTTTATGCGAAGACCGCTGAAAAACTGAGCCCTCTTTACCGGGAGAAAATTTGCCGAATATGACCAACGTGTCTGTTTTTTTCTATTTTCCGACTTTTTTTTTCAAAATCCGACTTTTTTTTCAAATTCCGCCTTTTTTTCAAATTCCGACTTTTTTTCAAACTCCGACTTTTTTTTTGAATCCCGACTTTTTTTCAAATTCCGACTTTTTTTTCAAATTCCGACTTTTTTTTCCAAATTCCGACTTTTTAAAATTGGAACTTCCTCGTTATTTATCGTAGCAACATGGCCGTTCGTCTCTTGTGTTTTGTTTGTTTAATCTACTTAATTATTATCACGACGGCATGTTTTGCCATTAATCTTCATGAATATCTTCCACTTTCTGAAAGTGGCGATGGTTCAAGAGAAAATTTTATTAAAAAATACTTTAATCTTGGTTTCCCCTATGAAGAAATTTTGGCTTTTCTTTCGAAGTTTCACGGAGTTGTACTAAGCCTTCGTCAATTGAAAAGAGTACTGAAGTCTATGGGATTGCTACAGGCTACAGAGCAATGCACCAACGATTAAAGGTTGACCATCAACTAGTTGTAGACAGGGAGACAGTCCGTAAGATTCTAAGGATTGTTGATCCAGAAGGGGTTGATACTCCTTTGAGACACCGACTAAAGAGACGGCAGTACAAGGTTAAAGGGCCAAATTACATATGGCACATTGATGGCTATGATAAGCTCAAGCCATTTGGGTTTTGCATACATGGTGCCCTGGATGGCTACAGCAGGCGAGTCCTGTGGTTAGAGGTTGGCCCTTCCAATAACGATCCAAGAATAGTTGGACAATATTATCTGAATTACATTCGTCAAATTGGTGGTGCCCCCCGTATAGTCCGGTCAGACTATGGGACCGAAAACGTGCATATTGCCGCAATGCAGAGATTTTTCAGGTCTTCTGCTAATGATAGCTTTTCTGGGGACAAAAGTTTTATGTACGGCAAGTCAACGTCAAATCAGAGAATTGAAGCATGGTGGTCCCAGTTGCGACGAGCCGGTGCTAACTGGTGGATAAATTATTTTAAAGATCTCAGAGATACTGGTGTATATCGTGAAGGGCAAATAATTGACGAGGAGTGCCTTAAGTTTTGTTACTATAACATTATTAAAGATGAACTGTATAAGATTGCGAGTCACTGGAATGTCCATTGTATAAGACCTAGTTCTAACGCAGAATCCCCATCTGGCAGACCGGATACTTTGTATTTTCTTCCTGAGGTAAATGAAACCCGAGATTACACAACAAGAGCATTTGACGCAGATATTAATGTTGCAGAAGAAATGTGTTGTGTGCAAAATCCACCAAATGGCTGCGAACATGAGTTTAACGAGTTGGCCACAATCATCATGAGTGAAAATAGACTACAAATGCCAACAACTGTTGAAGAGGCAGAAGAGCTCTATGTAGAGCTACTACATCAAATTGAAAACATATGACATTCGAACAGTAATGACGTGGTGGTTCAACGAAAAAAAAATTACCGAGTTTTGGTTTCAAGAAGGTCTAATCAGAATAATGTATGATTGTGGTCCTTTAAAGGCTGTTTGCCACTACGTTCGCTTTGCCAGCGAACTCTCATTAACGAGAATTCAGGCTGTGTATAGGCTATTTAATTGATATTTCATCGCATAAATTAAAGGAAATTGATATTTTCTAATTTCTAGATTAAGGGTTTTCAAATTATCATCTACATCATTATTGCTTAAATTTAATGACTTCATTATACGGCTTTTTGCTATACGAAAGCCAGGTTTGATCATTCAGGTCCTCTTTCTCCCCCAGGCACAGAACGGGCACATATAACACGTAAAAAGGCACAACTTGTAACAAGTCTGATCACAAGTTGTCAGCAAGTTGTGTTCGCACTGCTTGTTCCATGTTGTTGTTACAAGTTTGGGACAAGCTGTCAACTTGTAGCGAGTCCGATGGCATTGTCTGACAAGTCTGCTGCAGCCGGACACCGCGGAAATTGGTTTACATATAAATATCTAACAAAATATCTATTGCACAAAAGATTTTAAGCTTGCACTCGGCAAAAACGACTCGTCTGAATTCTTAACTTCGTTGTATAGTTTTGCCTCAAAATGGCCATTTTACAGGCAGCAGGCAGATGTATACGAAAAGCCTTATTCGAGGGTCGTACAGCGTGGGGTATCTGACACGGTTCACGGCCTGAAAAAGTGACGCATCACGAATCACGGACGTTCAAAATGTATTTTACCGAATCACGAAAAAAAACACGTAAGACTTTTAAACACGTAAGGATTTTCTTTCTTGAGTTGCGGTGGTTTTCTTAGGATTAAACACTTAAGCAGTAACTCTTGGAAACTTTTCAATTAGGTACTGTATGTGAAATGCTACCGTGCATTCTTTTTAACTCAACATGAACTGAGGATGAATTCCACTTATTGCTTACAAATCGAACAGAAAATTAAATTTCGGTGTTATTTTAAAATAATTTTTTGAAACTTTAAATTGAATAACAAACAAAATATTAAATTACATGGAGTAAGTTATGAGTGTGAGGTTGTGACAAGTAGCTTATACCTCTTCTTAGGTTCTCTTGCCTTAAATTTAATGTCACATGTAAGAACTCGTATAAATATCAACTGTCAACGTATACATGCACTTACGTAATCTATTCTATCTCTATTGGCTACCAAGCAAAACACACATGATCAAGTGGTTAATAATGTACAATAGCACACTTAGTTAACGATTAAGGAATGAAAGTAAAGCTCTTTGTTGTCTTTCATTAACCATGCATATATGTGTGTTTTGAATGGACCTATGAAATTCCTAACACAACAACGAATAAAGTCTTCCATAGGAAATTCGTTCTAAAACCCTGCCTTTTTTAAGACCAACAAGCAAACTAGTAGTAGTAATGGTTGCAGGACCAAACCTGCAATAAACGAAATTGCATTTACACTAGCCTAAATTTCCAGGATTCTGGATTACATAAAATGTTGTCCAGCTGAGTTTTGAAATCAAGAAAACCGGTGTAACTTCCAACTGGTAGATCGACTGTGCATCCACACGTGTGAGCAACTAAACAAGGCAGGCGTGCTATACTGAGATGAAATATCACCTTGATTTCCTTAGCTACCAGGAAACTGCTGCCAGTAACAAAACGGATAAACCGTTTCAGTGTAGCTGTATCAGCGGCATTCACGTATCGCTTTAGGTGGCAAAACACTTCCTCTTGTGACTTGGTTAATACGCCATCTACATCAGCTTTTATCAAGGACAACACCTTTGTTGGAGTGGGAGGAAGTTCATCATACATTTGAAGAACGTCTTCTTTATCTACATCAGCAAGAATCTGAGCATCCATATCTTGTATACCTTCTCGGAATTTGTTGATTGAACGATTGACCTTCTGCACCAATTCGCACTTGGCTATGTTGACCAGTATAGATTTGATGTTACTATGTGTGGGCAACATTCGCAGACCAAAGGGCGAAAGAACTTCCAAAACTTGGTGCTGTGTTGTAGCTTTCATTACCCCGCTTTCAGCTTCGGTTAAAGCATTCTGCAAGACTACCGCTTCAAACTCGAGGACGTAGTCCAAAAATGCATCCAAAAAATCGTCGTCTGTAAGGGATTCTTCTCCTCCTAACACTACAATGGAAAACAATTTCGAAATCTGAATTGGCCATATGCCAGTGATCAGAAAGGAATGAATAAGAGCTCTTCCAAGTATTTTACACAATTCATCCGTCACATCGGGACCAACTCGTGGAACAAGACTCTTTCCTCCTTCAAAATACTGGTTTGTGATATCATCCCAAAAGATGGAATATATTTCCCGCTTTACACCATCCAGATCTTGAGCTAACTCATCCTGGATAATAAACTTAACAAACTTCATTGAAAGAAAGTTGGACTTGTAAACATCAAGTAATGTAGGTACAATGTTGTTTCTCTCAATCGTGATAGTAGGTGCTGATTCCATTATTTCAAAAGCTTGTTCTCGCTTCTGTATTAAACCGCCCTAACACATAAAAGGCAAGTAAAATTTAGTACATTACAAAATAATACATAGTAAATCTTCTGTTAACTAAGCTCTCACAAGGGAATTCTCCGTTTGCATAAGACGTCATAATCTGTCATTAGGTGCCGTCTTGGTTGATTCTACAAAGTTCACTTCCACAGTTAAAGAGAACAAACGGAGTTAATTTACTTTTTCCTTGTTTATTTTGTAACTGCTTACCATGTCCATAGTATGACAGTTGGAAAGTGCCTGTTTGAAACACAGCAATGATGAAAAATATGATTCGTGCACGTGTTTTGAAAAATCGACCAAGATGGCGGGAATTGCAAACTACTCATAGTGCCATAATGGCTTGAACAAATAAGGTCCAATGAGTTAGTGTATCACCCATAGCTAGCCATGTACCTTCACTTACGCTAGAAAGAAAAGCTCTATTAAATATTTGCTAAAAGATTATAAATGGAACAACAGAAAGATTAATGACGCAATTCGTATGACGAATGGAAAACCGAAAATGTACAGGGTGTCTTAAAAAAAAGTTAATGCAACCTCAGTATGCTGCTGTGCGTCAATTATATGGTAAACTGGAGTACATATTGGAGAATAATACAGATCAATGACACGTTTTCGTTCCATATGGAGAAAAAAATGTGACGAAGTGAAAATCGCATTTTTTTTTACTTCTGCGCGATGCTAAACAAAAAGCAATTAATTATGTATTTGTCAAAGCTGTCTTTCGTGGACAATATGTAGAATAATTAGTTATGCATGCGGACACAACTTAAGTCCAAAAGAGAGTTGATTTTCAATAGTATAACAAATAGCGTTATTTTCACTTACAACACGGACAACTGCATGTCTATGATATTTGGAAAAATGTTCTAATTTTCTAAAATAATTTACCTTGTTCTTTACACGTGAATCTGTCTCTCTATGAAAAGAGTAAAAAAAGAATAATCGAAAACGAATGATTTATGCTTGATTCTCTTCCGTGTATACCTGGTACAACGGAAAGCAGTAGCGGTTTTACTAGTCATTCATTAATTTTCATAAATTTCAGTCAGCTTCAGCGCAGTCATATAGTACGAGGCCCGCCGAGAGGGGGGCGGACAGGGGGAGGGGCAATTTGCCCCTGGCCCCCAACTGAAGGGCCCCAAAACGACCCAACACTGATGTGGGAAAGTGCGCAAAAAAAGCCAATTCTGACGATCTAGCGCCTCAAATTTCACAAAAATTTTCCCTAGTATAAAGATTCGGCTCTTTCACCTTTTAACGCGAAAGGGAAGGACCCCCACGAAGTTCTTGCCTCGGGCCCCACTAAACCTCTCGGCGGCCTGGTATAGTACTTACATTGAGTTGTCGCAATGGCCCTCGATGTCACTTTCATCATCCACCATTATGGTTGTTGGGCATTTTTCTGGGATGGGATCTATCACAATGGCGTTACCAGGGGGACTGCTGCTGAGTGGTCCGAAACCTTTAGGAATTAACTCTTCATCTGGAGAAAAGGGCACAGGGTACTCACTCTCGACCATCACTAACATACATCTGTCAGCAATTTTGACACTTTCTTGTGGAGACAAACAACCTCCTGAATAGTTACATAACTGAAAATACTTTGGTGACTTATGTAACGACCCTATCCAGTCATATACAGAAAACATCATATCTGTGAGCGAGAACAAACGTGTTACTACTCCAAGTGATAGATGTCTTACTGATACAATATAATGAGGGTCAGAAACATCTGGTTCCTCAGACAATCGTCCTGTTCGGACCTCTCTTAATTCATCCAGAGAATCGTCCGTCTGGTGAATATCAACTGGGCGTGGGATACCTTTTCTCAATGTTTGGAGTGATTTGTTTTGATCAGCCAACAAAGACTCTTCATATGCTTTATCAATAAGGTTTTTTAGTTGTTCCCGTTCTTTTGATGTACCAATCAAACTGTCATCCGTGTTAAGCAAATGTGGCGCTGCATTCTCCTGTTCATCTGAAACAACTGGAACTGGTTCGTCATCCAGGACTGAATGTTCCAGAACACTGTCAGAAATTTCAGAATTATTGTCACTGTCAATGTCATCATCGTGTTCTTCATTTATCATCGTTGACAGATACAGCCTCACCTTTGACAGCTTAAAATAGTCAATGTACAACCCTAGAGTAAATGGAACTTGACCATCACCTAATAGTATTGTGTTTACATTTTCTTTCTTGAAATTCAACAAATCAAATTTCATTTCATTGGCACATCCAAAACTACATTTTCCATCAGAGAAGAACAGTTCCCTAGCAATTTTGATGATTTCGGTTTTGTTTGCCGATTTTAGGATGTCTACAAGACGTATTCCACCCCCTTCTTTCATCTTAACCAATTTGAAACTTTCACTTCCCTTAGGACAATGGAGCCAGGCAAGTTCGACTTTTCGTGTGCTTTTTGTTACGACAGTTTTTCCCTTTTGGGCTGACTGTGCAGTATGTTGCTTTTTATTGCGTTTCTTTGCAAGCTCTTCTAATAATCGTTTTTTCCTCGAATCGATTTCTGCCTTAGAACACGCCCCTGTCTTTCCATGTTGATTTTCACAGAATGACCGCAAGGATAATCGGTCGCCAAGTTTGATTAGCCCAAGGTCATTTTTTAATTGTTCGTCTGACGCATTCATTATGGCAACGTGCATCATCTAAAATAAGTTGAAATGTACATTATATTAACGATATACTGCATGGCCGAAAGTGAGGGCCGTGTGCACGAAAATATCAAACTGAGGTCTTGCAGTATCGACTGATCGAATGCGAGGTCAATACAGCAAGACCGAGGTCTGATACAACCTCGTACCCAGGTCCTGCTGCTGAGGCCGAAGGCCCTGGTAAATGCTGATCAAATACTCCCAGATTTTGGGGGTATTTTTTGAATCCACTAAACATTATGATGGCTATCAGGGGGGTATAGCAACCTAAAATCTAATGAGATTCAAAAATACTCCCAAGATCTGAGAGTATTTTGATCAGCATTTATTAGGGCCTTCGCCCTTATCAGCAGGCCCCAGGTACGACTTTGGGTTTGATGTTTTCCACTATGGTTTTTATTGTTTTACTGTATGAAATAACGCGTTTCAAAAATTAATTTATGCCTTCCTCTAGAGATTACTAAAGATAAAGATAGTACATTCTCGACATTTGGACTGAAGGGTCGCATTTTCTGCAATCTTGTTTGCTGGGCAGAATATTAATAATATAATGCGCGCACATCAAGACAATCAATTCGTAGTTGGGTTAATTTGGCTGGGGGTAACGATTTTCTCCCAGCTGCTTTATTAATAGTTAACTTTCAAAGTCAAAAATGTTTAAAATATGCATAAAATTCCTATTAGAAAACAAATATTCTAATATATCCAGTTACTTCGTGAACCTGATAAAAACAGTTGTTGTTTTAAACCAAAAATCACAAAAGAAGTTTAATATTACACAGGATTACAGCGTAAAGAGGAGAGGAATGACCAGCATATAAAAATGAGATACAGTTTACTGCTGCGAGTCTCTGTGAGGCAGTGCACCATTTGTCGCACGCATATTTCACCCAAATAATAAACTCCTATGCCGATCTTTGTAAATATTATTGAGATTGGTATATATTGTTCGCTTATTTAACGTCTTATCAATAGGCAGTTGGAAAATAAACAGCAAATACACTTAAATATTATTGAAATATTGAATATTCACTCAAAGTTCATCACGATGTCATATATTGTCTTTGGGCATAAATCCAATTACTTTTATTTTCTCCGTCATTGGCTAAGTATGGCGTCATTTCTAATGTCATGTCTAATGTTTTGGCTGTCTAGTGGCATGTTCGGCCGCCTGTTGTTGAGCTTATTTGCTGACTTTATCACTAAGTGCACTCTCACACTAACAAAGTTCCTAAAGCTAAAATGAAAGAGCATCTGTCTCTATACTGCATATGTTTACACCACTTAATTCAAAAACACTGACTCTCTAAAAACAGTCAATATAGGCAAATACACAGCTTATACTATTCAGAATATTAGTATTATTAGACTAATAAAGATCAATATACACTGAAAACTAACATTTTCATCCTCAAACTTTTGTGCCACATCTTGGGCCACCCCAATTGAAAGGAGGAATAGTTTCACCTATAAATAGAAAGACCAAGGCTTAGTTAAACAACAGATAATGTTTATATACCTAGGTTCATAAAATAAAATCGAAGACAAATAAATAATCTCTTATTGTTCGTGTAAAATCATAATATGTACCCCAGATAACTTAAGGATTTCTTTTGGCATTCTCTTGTTTAATTGTTATAATATACAAAACAAAATCAGTTTAAAATACCTCGTTAGCTTCGCTCAGTTGAGTCACAGTAGTGTTTTTGTTGTCGTCCATCTTGAAAGTGACAAATTTATCTAGACATTATACTCGGGAAAAAAAGTCGGAATTTGAAAAAAAAAGTCGAAATTTGAAAAAAAAAGTCGGAATTTGAAAAAAAAGTCGGAATTCAAAAAAAAGTCGGAATTTGAAAAAAAGTCGGAATTCGAAAAAAAAGTCGGTTTTCGAAAAAAAAAGTCGGATTTCGAAAAAAAAAGTCGGAATTTGAAAAAAAGTCGGAATTTGAAAAAAAAGTCGGAATTTGAAAAAAAGTCAGAATTTCAAAAAAAAGTCGGAAAATAGAAAAGAAAAGATAATAATTACCATGGCCCTTACAGGGCTCCGTAGCTTTCACAACACGATGACTATTATTGAAAAAAACTAAACCAATCAGGGTTCTCGTCTGGTTACAAATTCTAGTGGGAGTTTTGATAAATTGTTCAAAATCATTAACGCTTACAAATCTTTGTAGCTTCTGTCTCGCTTTACACGCGGCAGTATTCTTCTCAGCTGAAAAATCGACATTAAAATCTTCCAAAATTATAACTTCAGAGTCTGCAGGCAATGTTGCCAGTGATGTGTTAAACTTATAGCCGATCAAAGAGCCACAGCAATAGTCTGGCGCTCTATACACACAACAAAAGATTTAACGTTTTGCCTTTAGAACGGTTTATTTCAATCCAGAGATTTTCATTTACCTCGTCAACCAAGTCTGATAGGTGTCTAGCTGTAGTGTAGGGAATGCCATCTCGAACAAAAATCGCTGTTCTACCACCTCGCTTGCCTTTACGGACTTGTCTTACTAACGTGTAGCCAGAAATGTCAACTTCAGTATCCAATCTAGTGAGATTAAGCCATGTCTCTGACACTGAGAAAATATCGAACGACTGACTTACTTCTCACGAGATGCCTAATGTCGTCTAGTTTGTTTACTAAGCTTCGTACGTTCAAATCAGTGAGCCACTTTGAATCCTTACGCTTTCGGCAAATCCTCTGCTTAAAGACCTGGAGCCGGTTGTATCAAGCCCGTTTAGTTTAAACGGTGGATAAGTTGAAAATAGAAAGCCAGTCTATCGTTTTATTCAACAAGCAAACTAAACGTTTTTAACCTTAATACAAAGATACTGGTTACAACTACATATTCAGTGCATAATATTCAAGTTCACTCATTCAAGAGAGATGTAAAAAGTGTTATTTAATTTTGACTTATCCGCCGTTTAAGCTAAACGGGCTTGATACAACCAGCCCCAGGATTTATACTCAATTGGCTCATAAGAGAACTAACGAGGAAACGACCTTTGATAATTTCAACAGATGTATAATTATAAACTAACTTTCAATTTACAAGATGGTGGCAAACTGGCTTTACTGGTGGAAGGAGAATAATTCGGTAAACCATGCAGGCGTATTTCCTGGAGGAAACCATGGATAATAATATGAAATTATTTATTTTATTATCCACGAGGAAACTTATTAACATCCAGTTTGAATGCACACATTTGACACGAGGGATCTTTAGCTAACCTAAAAACAGCATTTCAAAGACTCCGCAGGCAAAAAATTATTAATGATAAAAATACAACTAAAATGGCAGACAATCTAGATACGCGTCTTCCTGCCATAACTGCAATCTGCTGTCATAACTGCAATCTTCTGATAAATGATATGCTTTATTGTTCAACTGTTTGGTCGAACACAACAAGCTCTATAATAATTATTAAGAAACTGTAATCATGCAGTCCAGAATTTCGCAAGTAATATAATCACTGGATCCAATACTCAAATAACTCAAGTGGCTGACAGATGATAAAATGCTCTATTTTTGCAATGCGGTTATATGATTTATAAATGTAGGAATAACACAACCTCGTACTCAGCGTCTTAATAATATGACACCAAAATATCACTATGATATGCTCGAGGCGAGATCCATCCATAATAAGTCCTACAAGATATCGAAGCTTAATTCAAATATAGCCACCTCGGTTTAAAACACGGGCAGGCCAACGATCATTAATTTTCACAGAGAAGCCTTGGTTTGAATAATTGGAAAAACAACTGAAGGAATGCACATCCCTTAAGACTTTTAAATTTAATCTGAAGAATTATTTAAGGCATGTTACACGGTGAAATTTTTGTTGCAACTTGCAATGCAGTTCTTTTTTTGAGAGATGTAAATTTGGCAACTACCGAGCTTTTCTTTTTATTGTCCATGGCGTTTCTTACACTTACACTTTGAAGACTCTTCACTAATTTTCATATCTTAAAAGTAGAATTGCATGCATTGCAATTTGCAAGAAAAATTGCATCGTGTAACATGGCGTTTACTGTCATTTTAACATATGATATACTTAGTCATAGGTTTTTTAGATATTATGGATTAGGTTAGGATAGGGTTGGAGAATTGGGAAGAAACGGTGCTAGAATTTCAGTATGCATAGAGAACACACGATTCAAGATGGTTTATTATTATTTGAATAAACTTTATTCACTTCATTATTTTTGAAAGTTGTCTTTCCAGAAATCGAATCACGAAATAGAATCAGCCATAAAAGAATCAGTATTTGGAAAATGTTCAGATATTGGCCTTCATCAACTTCTTCAACATACGAGAAATTTCCATCTTCTATCCCTAGCAGAATATAAATAAAATTGGTTGGGAACATTTCATATAATCTGTGTGATATTTACGAGAGGCGGAAACAGTTACCTTAGAAGTCGTTATTTAGCTAGATGTACTAAATTTTGGCTGAGGATTTCTTGCTTGAAAAAGATATTTCACAGATAACTTAACCAATTCTAACAGTTAGAAATTGATCGTAAATATGACGTCATTGCAGCTATAATGGTAACAATGGCGATTCAACAACTGCTATATCAGTTGTACAATAAAACATCTTATTTATCACTAATGAATTTGTTATGGTTCTTATGAGTGTTATCTTGTCGAAGTTCTTTTTGATCCGGTAAATTTGGCCAAATCCTTTTATATAGAAAAAAAACTTCTGCAAAAATTTCAATTCTAAGAAAAGAGTTGGTATTTCCAACGTAAAATTCGATTTTTTTATTTTCATTACCATTTCTTTTCTAAATTTAATCTTCTCAAAGAAAATGCACACTACCAAGCCGGTATTTTTTTTCAACTTACTCTCTTCCGTTGTCATGATAACTGTGTAGGCCGACAAAATAATAAAGGTTTGGTACATCATAGTTTAAATAAGCGTCCCACCAGTTGATATATTCAGTCCAATAACAATGACGCGGGTAATCTGTT